ATGATAAATGGACTACAAAATTTGGTTAAAATCGGATCATCAATGAATTAATTAATAGAAATTTTGATCACAGATGATGCAAATTTCATCTTTTTCAAACGGTGTCACAAGTCATCAACCTGTTGTCAGCAGATCCCATTGATTTCCTTCTTTATCATCAAGTTAATTTCCCTAAAAACTTCATTTATTCTGTGTTTGTCATCCATTGTTTGATTTCTTTTACTTAATCAGTTATTAACGACATTCATTTTTTTAAATTGCCTCTTAGAGCTTGTTATTTTTTTTTGAAAAGTAAGTTACTCTGTTGACGCTATCTATCAAAAGTATATTCATAATAATTGAGGTTATTCAAACTTGTAATCATTTCTGTGCTTGCCTTCCACCTCGATGGCTTCTTCTCCCGTCATCTCATATCTTCATAGCAATGCTGTGACACTTGGAGCTACCTTGCAATGTCGGTCATTGACTAGGAGAATTTTATTTAGCACATACATTTACCCGCCATTTGGTTCGCCGTTCTAAGTATAAGCGAGTCAGCATTCTCTGTGATAATAGTCTACATGCAATATATCTCACGTCTGGTACATCTCATCTCTAAACTTTCAGAACCGTTTTCAGCACCTCTTCTGTCCACCTGCTTTGTGAAATCTCGATTGCATAGACGAGTGCTTCGAGCGTGATAATTCTGCTGACATTTGGTTTCGGTACACTGGCAAAGTGCTCTCACAGCGCAAACTCATCTGTTTTTCCATTGTTTTTTATTATGATTCCCGGTGCGGTTTTTCTTCTTCCATCTTCCATTTTATTGTCAAAATTTTCACATCCTGACTGCAAGTAAACAACATTTTTCTACTTTAGGGTTTCTAACTTTTTGAGCAATATTTTATTTTTTCTCTCTTCATCCCTTGCGTATCTTTTCGTTACTTTTTTCCCCCCAATTTGCATTCATTCCTTCAGAAATGCAACAACAGGGCGTCACATGAGTACTGCCGTTATTGACCATTTCATCTTTTCACTTCTTGGCAGTCGTCTTTGAAACAAAAAAGTTTGTCAGAAACGCGTTGCCAGCTAGTAAATGACGGACCTGATTAATTGCCGGTTTTTGTTGTGGTATAATTGCCATTTCAACTATGTTGACGCTTTTGATTGCTGATATTATTTCTGTTATGGTAGCCAGCAACTATCGTCCATCTACTTGCGTGATATTGTCATAATGACCCTTACAATACTTCTGCAATACGTTCATTATATATATATATATATATATATATTTGCTGAATTAAGAAGTGATTATATTTCTAGTTTCTAATTTACTCATTTTCAAATTTTTCCATTCTTCCATTGTGCCAAATTGTTAGTTTGAAAGCTATAGGTGTTATAAATGGTTATTATTAGTTCCTTCGTGTATTATTCATGTATTCATTTGTCATGCTTGATAACTGTTCACCAAAATTCAATCATTGTGTGATGCTTACTGCTAAATTTAACCTATTTCATCAATTTTCATTGCAAGAATTGACAAATGTAAAGCTTGTTTCATTTGGCACAATTTCAGACCTTTTTCTTGAAATCTTGAAATTGTTCAACTTTTAAACAATTTCGTTTTTGTGAAAAATAAGAACAGTTATTAAAAGGACAATATTCAGTCATTTTATGAATACGTCGTTTAAAATTGATATTTCTTAATGGTTTTAATTAATTAATCCCTTTTTTCAATTTTAAACTAACCTTTTTTATTTTCTGAATATGTAGTATAATTAAGTGAACTTTTCATTGTAGTTTTTAAATGATTTCACTGCAGGAAGGCCATAATTTGAATCATTTTGATCTATCTTTGATTTTTCAATTTACATCATCCTACCATTACCATGCAAAAAAAACAGAAAATTTGAATTTGAAACATGACTTTCCATGATAATTTGGATATTTGGTGTTTTCTGGGATCAAAACTTTTCCACGGTATTTAGTGGACATTGAAAAATTCCTTAGTCATATCAAATTTTTAGGGTGTGCATTTATTGCAGATGTAGTTCTTTATTGCAAGCAGGTCTCTTAATACTTTTATAAATTTAAATCTTCCCTTGATTGCTAGAGTAAAATTTTGTCTTTTAATACAGAAAGGCAGAAAGTGAAGGATAATTCAAATCTATCAGGGAAATGAAATAAGAAATTACCATTAGTACTCAAATATTGACTTCTCTTTATTAGTAAATGTATTGAAAACAGTGGGATGTACAATAAAATTAATATTGAGTCAGCAAATTTTTCCTACATAATTAAAAAGCACAATTATGTTTGCAAAAAAGTCAGAATTGAGAGACTACTTTGATCATAAACTTCATTGATTACTGTATTTTATGTGAAACTTTACTGTTACTGTTATGTCTATAAGATAGTTTCAATAACAAATATTTTGCTGGACTGGAAAATTTACAAAACCTCCTTGTAATGATTCTCCAAACTATTATGATATTATTGTGAATTATACTGAAAAAAATATATATTGAAACTGTCTTATAGACATAACATATATATATATAATGAGTAAACTTTAATTATATATAAGCTTCCGTTGAAACTAGTTGAGAAAGGCAACGAAATTTTTATAAGCTGCCGCAGTTGAAAATAAAACTAGAAAAATGTGGCAATAATCAACTTCATTCTATACTGCTATGTCATTTCAGTCAGGGTGGTTCAATTGCTAACAGTATCATCTAAGTATTCCTTCGGTTTAACATACAAATATTGCTGCAACTGGCTACTTGTAGCGATTTAAAACTGATAGTTGTATCGAAAGTAAGATTTCAGATTTGTCTGTGCAAAAGTTCTATTTGGGAGCAAGATGCTGTCAGTAAAACTGCAATATTTGAAATGCTATCATTTTATACAACAATGGCATTTTCAGGAATAATATTGCCATTTCAGCAATAATTGCTGTTTGGAAATGTAATATGAAAGGTATTTATGTTGATGTATTCCAGTATTTACGCGTTAGAAGCGACAAGTCTTTCTGGGAATAGTAACTGAAAAACAAGTCTTTCAATCGTGCATCACGTCAATTTTTATTTTATACTATAAAATTTTGCGTCAATTTTTTTTCAAAATGGAAATAGTTTAACTTAAATGGCAGAGAATAACTAATTACAAAGTGAAAAATATCCCTTTCCAACTTAACCAAGATTAATATTACAAAGGAATTTCGAAAAAAAATTGGCAATGAGAAATCGCTTTTATGCGCGTTCTTTCAATTAAATAGTTCACTATTTCCTTTATAGTGTTTATATCGATGTATATTTGAGATAATGATTTCATTTATTGTAATTTTTTCATACGCAGTATTCAACATATTTACTTGAACTTTGACAACTGTTTTGATTGTTCTAGACTGTATTTAATTCACCTATTTATATATACGAAAAGAAAAATGTGTCAGCTAGTCTTCTTTTTTGCTTTTTGATTCTGGCACGAAATCGTATTCCGGCACTCTGGCTGTACTTGACCGCGTTCAAATTTGTTGTGCTGATTTCTTTGCTTCATCCTCTCAGAATCCATAGCGGTCATCAACTGAAATGCTTTCGTGCGTCATCTTGAGAACTATCGATTGAATGTATCTCTCGACGTGATCAGACATAATGATCTCCTTCGCGTAGCGTTTATGAAAGTTCGTTCGTTACAATCCCATCCCAAGTCATCACATACGCAATTATTTTCGTCCTGCATTTCATCTATATATATGCATAATCTTTCGTGAAAAGACTATACACTTTCGTATCTGTACTCTCTTGCACAAATCGAATGTAAATGATTAATGTTTAAAAACACCAAAATTAAAGCTTTATTCTGTTCCATAGCAATAAGGCTTGAAAGTTGAGCAGCAAATTCATATTAAATAGTATCTGTTTTAATTATGATCTCCAATTGCAACTTTTACTTATATTTAAGTGCATATGCATTACCATTGTCAACCATAAAAATGCAGTTTTTATCACAGTAATCGTTTTAATCACAGAGCTCTTTAATGTGAGCTCTAAAATTCAGCACTTTTTTAAAAATATTTTCAAATTCATTCAAGATTAGCTGTGAAAATTTATACATTCTATCATATTTTTAGAGCAATTAATGTAGTCGAAAATCTAGTCAACAAATTAGCAACAACAATTAGAGGAAATTTTGTTTATTTTTTAATCATCGAAAAACATGTGTTATTCATTCTGATTTTAACTAATTAATCATATGATCATGTTGAAAAATTTCGTTAATATTGCACTTTTTGATTATGCAATATAATGGCTCAAAAATATATTTAAAAAACAGCATCAGAAATTCAAATGTGAAAAACACTATTTTTTTCTTTGTGCTATCTTATCATTTAATTCTTCTTTTCATAAAATCACTAATTTTTACTTTGCATTTGGCCTAACGGAACCGGTTTTCTACAAAAAAATTTATTTTTTCAAATAAAAATTTCTTTTAAAATGAAAATAAGATTGACACATTTATGACATACGTAGCATTTAAGTATATGGTGCGTTTTAGGTATTCTGGAAAGGAAAGTCAAATTACAACATTGTCCAATAAAATGATTAATTACATGCTTAGTCTTTCTTAAGTCAAGTTTTGCATAATTATCTATCAAGTTTTTGAATTAAGTTTGTGCTAATTTGTTTGATCAGATTAATGCTAAACATAAACAGAAAGTGCGAGGAAGAAAATTAATTGCTGTTAGAACCACTTGCATCTGTAATCGTAAATTGTAGCTTCATTTTTAATAATAGAAAATGCTAAATGGGCTTTCATGTATTCATGCAGTAGAAAGTGCCAAGTGATCAGGATATACTTGTATTTGATTTGGTAATATTTTGCAGTGTTATATATTTTTGAAATTTGTTGAAATAGTTTGCTTTGTCATTTACGAACTTTTTTATCTATTTTTCGATTAAACATAATGAATTTTGCAGTAAAGTATACTGCTTCAATTTTTTGAGATCAATTAACGTGAAATGGTAGTAAAAGTAGCCTCTGGACGAGGCTTAGGATGGATTGTTACAGCGTTTTTTATCGTAGCAGATATGGTTGGTGGAGGAGTTGTGGCCATGCCTGTCGCACTTTTTTCTACTGGCAGTTTTTTAATTTATTTTGATTATTTTTTAGTAGGAATGTTTCGTAAAGTACTGTACTTTTCTTCAAGACAATTTATACGCACCTGTATATAATATCTGGTGTTTAAATAATCACGTTTATTAAAAAAGACAAGCAATAAACCTTCTTCATTACTTTGTTTTTTGCGCTCAGGAATTTCAACACTATGCTATTTTTTTTTTTAAAAATTCAACGAAACTGTTTTTTATAATCATTTCAGGACTGCTTATCGGTATAATATTTATGACAGTAATATGTGTAATTTTTGCTTACACGGCTCATTTATTGGGAGAAAATTGGGTTATAATGCAACAAAGATGGCCAATTTACCGGAATCACTGTCGTAAACCGTATTCTGAAATGGCGATGCGCAGTATGGGAAAGAAAATGAAGTATGGCAAGAACCGTTGTCCAGTTCATTATTTTTTAATTATTCCCCATGTGTAAGTCATTACAACTGTTATAAATTTAACTTATTTTCAGAACAATTGCAGCTGGTATTGTTTACATGACGATGTTTGGTACGTCTGTTGTATACATACTTCTTTCTTCAAAAATTTTCGAACATTTCTTGGCATCAATTTTCGGCATTGAAATTAGTTTTTGTTATTTGCTATGTGTGGTAACAATTTCAATCATGCCGCTTACCTACCTAAAATCACCAGCAGATTTTTGGTACGTTGTGCAGTAACAATTTTTAAATACTTTAATCTTATGATTTGATTTGATTGAACTTGAGCTTATTTTCATGATAAATTGTAGGATGGTTATTGTAATGGCGATGCTGTGTACCATTGTAGCGGTTTTACTGATTACTTTGGGGATCAGTATAGATGCAAGTATATGCATGGCTAAAGCTCATTATCCGAAAGTTTCAATAACCGGCGCAGTAGTCAGTTTGGGCACTTTTCTGTTTGCTTTCAGTGGTCATCAGGTTTTTCCAACTATTCAGCATGATATGTATCGTCCAATGGAATTCACGAAATCTGTCATTTTGGGCTTCATACGTAACTTTTTAAAAAAAAATAAATTACAACTCATTCATTATTCGATCATTATATCAATCATCTCAATCGTTATTGAATGCCACTTTTTTAAATCAAGTATCTTGTGCATCGAATTGATGCAAAATATACAATGGGTTAGGGATAATAGTAACTTATGACCAAAATAAGCTTTAGTTAAGGTATGAGACTTGGGAAAAGTCACCTGCGCAATCTCTAATTTTGTGATTCAGTTTATTTTGAACTATTTTAATACATTCTTTTTGTGCTTTGAAATTCTGCTTAACTTTTTTGCTGCCTTACTCAGTAGTGCAGTTTCTTATGCCGTCATCAGTAACCTACCTGTAACTTTTAGTTGTTGCTTTACTGTACATGCCATTATCAATATATGGTTATTGGACATACGGAAACAGCATGCACAGTTCAGTAATTGATTCCGTGCAAACTCCTTGGATTAGACACGCTGCTAATTTAGCCATTGCTATTCACTGTATTCTGGCTTTGATCATCATGGTGAATCCACTAAATCAACAAGTCGAACACTTCTTTAGTGCTCCACACTGTAAACTTTTTCAAGCGCAAAAGACATTTAAAAATATAAATAAAGAATTGTGCATAGATCGGTTTCTTTGATATATGACATATGTGAATGTTAGTATCCTAAATTCAAATTTGGGAATCAATTTTATTTTCAAGAATAAAATTAGCTTTAATTTTGCTTAGTGTAAAAAATCTAGCCAAAGTCTTCGAACAAATTTCTAAAGCGATTTATAGTCTTCTATCAATTTTTTCAAAACTTATACTACTGACTAGTAACGACATGCATTTTTCATTACTTCAATTAACTGCTAAAAATTCAAGCAATTCGTGGAATAAAAATTTTTATCTCTGATAATGAAAGCCAACATTATCCATAAAAATTTGAGCAAAAATTGATTTATATAAAAGAATGTCCATTGTAGCATTTGGAATTCAGCGTGTATTAATACGTTCTGGAATGCTTGGCACCATGCTCTTCTCTGCTCTCACAGTTCCTGATTTTGGACCATTTATGAATTTGGTTGGGGCGGTAACAAATCCTCCAACCTGTGTAGTGCTACCAGCACTTACTAATTTATATCTTAATGCAATGAGTGTTGATGAAAAAACTCGAGCATTTAAAATCCCGACTTTCTTCGAGTAAAATTAACTTCTTATATAACACATTAAGTAATAACAATATTACTGTTCTATTTTATAAAATTTGTGTAAAAAGAATTTTATTAAATAAAAAGTTATTGTGATAAACTGAAAAGGCTAATTACTTACTAAATTACTTTTTTTTTGCATTTTTCAGAGTATTTAAAAGAACTGATAGAAAAAAACTTTTGTGGAATGCATTTATCGTTGGTATGTGTGCTTAATTTCATACAACATAAATAAATATATTCTAAACAACAATTAGAACCAAACTGTCTTCTAATTGTTGTTTAGAATAATGACTAATACTTTTCTTATCCAATAAATTATTAGAAATATGCCAAATGTTGGAAATTTTACTAATTCAATAAGGATCTTTCAGTTTTTCAAAATTTTAGTTGCAAATAAAACTAAACGTATTCTCATTTAGATTAGTTAAAAATTTACATTTCAAGCGCAATACAATTGTAGTATCAAAGTGAATCAAAGATTAGTTTGGAATTTCGAGTATATTCAAGAGGATAAATATAAAGTTACAAGTAATGGACATGAATGAATTAATTACTTTTAGTTGTAATATGTGGATTTTTAAAAGTTACTTAAGAACAGGTATGCAAATGATAATTTGCTCAAACGTTAACAGCTTCTAAAAATAAATAGAACTATTTAGTTGCTAACAGAAATATCTTTCAGTAACCTTATGATTTAGAACAAGTTTTTTGCTAAAATGCTTTATTGTAATTAATTTTATTCATCATTTGCATTTGCAGTAATTACTGGAATTAATATTGTAATAAAACTAACTTTCATAAGAGAAAAGTAACACAACTTCTTGAATAATCAGTTAAAAACTGCTTGTTTTCTAATTTTGCGTTTCAGTAGTGGCGTTGATTGCTGGTATTGGAAGTGCATATCTAGCAGTTCTTGAGATTTTAACTGTACATTTCACGCCGCCTTGTTACATCCGACCTTTCATATCATCATCTGCTCTACGGAACGTCACTTTTGATGGAGAGAAGATTAATTGTTGCGGAATGGAGCAAAATATTTATGTCTTCGGAAATGCTACCGAAATGTGTCGGATGCCAACTCAAACAGTCATGTAACTGATATCGAACATTGTTCGTTTCATCGAAGCACTACTGATAATTAATGGCAACATATTTATTGTTATTATTATCATCATTATTAGAGTTATTATGTATACATATATAAGTGATAAAGATGTATTTTGTAAGTTAAATTAAACTGAATTATGTTTCATAGTAAACAATAATGATAACAATTTATGTTCATTCAAAAAACTAAATTAATTAAGCATAATTTCTAATACAGTCATCAATTTTCAACACTTTGCTATTTATCCTGTTCAAATAATGAATCTACCAGAACAAGTTAAAAAATCAAAAAATATTGATTATTTACTGAAGATTCACGTTTCAAGTCTAATATTTTTAAGTCATTTGGCTTGATCTGACAATTGTTGATTATTTTCGTTCACCTCTTTCTCAGCTGACTTCTTTTTTGCTAAACAAATTTTCACAAGTATATTTTCTATTTTATCAATGAAAAAATATTAGGAGATGACAATAAATTAACTATTGTATGGTACATAGACTAATTATATTTTATCTAGTAACTACGGTATTTTATAATAGGTATAATTCAGTGCAAAAGGAAACAAGTATATAATCAAAAAAAAATTATTAAATATAAGTATAGACTTTTGTAAATAGTTGAAAGTCAGCGTTAACAAGCGAAATTTGTTTTGAAATCAATTTTTTAAATTTCTAAATTATTTTACTATGAGTTCCTGTATTATCTGTATACAAATCTTATTACAGTCTATTATTAAAACATAATTAATTTTCTCCCTTACATTTTTTTGTTGTTCAGTTTTTAAGCATTTTTGAGGCATTCCTTTCCGCTTTCCTTGCTGCAAATCTTAACTTTTACTTTACTTTTGCAAAATTGATGCACAAATTATTTAATCTAAACTAAATTTATCATTATGCAGATTAATTAAGTGAAATATAATTATAATATCAAAGTAGTTAAAAGATCAGTTTCGGAACTGAAGCATATTTAAAAGAAGAAATATAAATGAATGACAAGTAATAAACATTAATTATTACTTCGAGTTGTAATACAAAGATATTTAATACTTACTTCAGAGCTACTTAAAATTTCAATTCTTTCACTTTAAATATTCACCTACGTTATTTATTACAATTATATCCAGAATACAAATTATTTACTCGTCCATATTTATTACGACTTTTCAAAATTTGTTGACTTGTTAGTATACAGGAATAATTAAACATGTAAATTTTTTTCATTTCGCTATTACCTACTATAAATAAATAAATAAATAAAATTTAATATATCGCGTTGTGAACAGTACTGTTCATGCTCCGGCCAAGGATTTAGTTTTCTGATTATGCCTAATTTTAATAAAAATTTAATGTCATATAATTTTATGCTGCAAAATTTGAAAACGCTGGATTTCAAAATATAAATAAAACTTGAAAAATTCGAAAAGGCAAAATTGCAAGCTAGCAAATTTTTAAGCTATATTGAAAAATAAATAATATTTTAATAAAAGATCTGAAAACTTATTTTTTCTCAAAAATTAATTTTTCACCTGCAATAAAGCAAAATTCATAGTGACTATTTTTTGATAATTTAAAAAAGAACAGATAGAAACCCTCAATATACAACTTTTTGTTTTGTTGATTCAAATGAAGCTTTTGAATCTCAATAAAATTATTAGTTTTTTGTTTTCCATAATTTATAAATATTTTACTAAAGCATTGAAAGAAATCAGTTTATATCTTTCAAGTTATCACTTATAATCAAAATCAAAAACATTCTCGAAATTTATTACTTATTTAAAAAATTAATCGTTGTGAACAGATTAAGAAAATTACCAGGAACAGATTCTTTTTAACTTTTACAACTTTCAATGATATGTGCAGTTGATTATAAAAACCTTGAGAGAGATTTTGTAAAGCTAAATAGGTAAATCAGCATTTGATGGGCGATCTTTGCCTACATTTTCTGCGTGTAGAGTTTTGGGTGGACTCTGATCCACAGCCACGGCACTTGAGGCTGGAGCAGTTTTTGATATACTATCATTATCCCAATCATATTTCATCGATAACACAATACCTTTTTCACTTGCTAACTGATAATGAATAGTTTTAATTGTAAATTAGTTGATTTACAAACGATAAATTTATTATTTTCAGTTTCTAAAACTTTTAAAATTGATGAGAATTTTTATTGAAAACAATAAATTTGTAATTTTAATGATAATTTTTAAAATTTTATTCTGTTCAATCATTTTTTTTAATATTTGAAAAACTCTTCGTAAATAAGTCAGAATTTTTGAAACTCTTCTTGTTTATCTTTCAATGAACTGAATTTATAAATTTATTAAGACCTTATTAATAAATCTAATATCTATTAATCATTCAAAAATAATTATTATTACCTCATTAAGAATACTGCAAAATTTTGCATATGGAGGAGCTTCTTCAAATCGCAGTTTATCAATAATTTGCAAAATTTCATCGTATTGTGATGGACAATTTTTGAAAAATTGATCTTTTTTTATAGTACGTATGTCTTCTTTGGCCTTTTGAACGTGCGAACGATCGATACGTGAAATAAGTATATTAGATTTAGAAATTTTACAATTTACAAACAAAATTGTTTTGCATTTTTTATCGGTATTGTACAGTTTTTCATCGTTTTGTATGAATGTGTTCATACCATTTTTTTAATGCTAATAAATCATTGAGAAAACTAAAAAACTTGTAATGAAATTATACTAAAAAGTTAACTAGATGATTTTAATGACTTCTAATCAAATTATGTAGTTCTACCGGTAACAAGACGCCATGGAAGTGATCCTTTTGTTAGCTCAACTATCATATATAACCAGGATTCTAAATCATCACGACGTCCCAAGTCCTGTTTATGATGCGCATTTAATGAGCCATACCGTGTAGTTCCACGCCAACCCATTTCACCTCGTGATGGTAATACTTCTGAATTCTAAACTTGTACGTTGTTTACAACATAAATTTTTCTTAAAGCAATGTTTACTAATACAATTTGTTGTCAAATATTCCAAATTTTCTTATTTCAGTTAATCACATATCCACAAAAACTTATCACTATTTTACTGACTTCTGCTTATTGAAATAGAATTCATATTTCTGTTATTGAAATTATCAAAACTGAAACTATCATTTCCCAAAATCTAGCTTATATACCATGTATTTATATGTTGACTAATTATATCATAGGTTAAAAAGTAATCAGTCAGCTAATCAACTGTCAGTACAAAAAGTAATAACAATTATGAAAATAAATATTAGCCTATATGTAAATTATTTTGGTAATGTTTAAAGTCAGTTAGTATGATAGATGAACCTGATCCAGATAACGCCTCGAAAGGCCAAAATCAAATATGTATATAAAATGATGCTCATGATTTTCTTTGCTACCGATGGCAAAATTTCCAGGCTTAATATCTCGAGAGAGAAAACCACACTGATGCAACTCTTCGATAGCACTTAATGTTTGCATAGCAACTCGAACTGCAGTTTCTACAATTTTTGATCAGAAAAAATGATGCTAACTAATCACTGCACTGGATTTGTTCTCTACTAGATTTTTTATCTTCAAAAATCTTCGATCACAATTGCTAAATTTTTAATTAAAACAATAGTACAATAAAATTACCAAGCGAAAAGTGTTTTCCAGGTTGTCGATTTCGTAGTTTATTTAGGTCAGGTCCAAGCAGTGACATAACCACAAACATAAATTCTTGTTTCACATGACCCTTGATAAAAAGAATAATAAAATTATCTACTTCAGTTTACAAATATACACCAAAAATTTATCGTATAAACAATTTCTTCTCAGTGAAACATTGCTTAAAGTGGTATAAAATTTACATGAAAAAATTTTTTTAAATAAATTGAAAAAACATGGAAAAAAATTAAACAAATTTTTTCTTTGACATTTGACAATGACCTGATCTTAATCCATGTGTCGTATATTAAAAAGTATATATGGCAAAAACTGTTTAAATGATTGTGACTTCGAAAATGATCCTTTTCCCATTTTTCAGTTTGGACTTTTTCCACCCTTTCAATTAAAAACAGGATGCATTATTTTTTCTTGATATGTTTTAATACATTGCTTAAACTAAAATTCAAATTTAAGAGGTAATTTCTTTCTAGCTTACTTTACCTTTGTATATGCAGTAATAAAAATCGAAAAATCTAGACTATCAAAACTTACATAATCATACATTTTACATATATGCTTACAACGCCGTTGATTTGCTACACGTAAAACACCAACCTCGATTTTCAATACTGTTCTACTGAACTTCTCTGCTTTCAGTGCCATTTCCCTATGAACCCTATTTTAAATTTAAATCTTTTTTTTTTTTTTTCAATATTCTATGATAGTTTTTGGAAGTGAAAAGAGACAAAAAATAGTATGCCAGTCAAGAGGAAATAGATTTGATTTAATATCAGTAAATACATTTTTGTTAATCTCTTGTGTTTTACACAGATATTAATTCAAATGATTGGTTAGTGCTAGTTTTCAATCAAGTAACGTTTAATTTTTTTTACAGAACCTACCTGTAGTATTTAATATACTTCAAAATATTAGTAACAAATATCATACATTTCATAAACAATATTTTGAATTTCATTTCATATTTGGTATTAAAATTAGCATTACTTTCGATCGTTTTCGCACATTGCTAAAAAAACACTGCCATATCCACCTTCACCGATAATTGCCATTAATTTGTAAGCTTTATTGCGACCTGATAATACAATATCATCAACGGCTGGCAATCGGTCGTAATCAGCTACATATTGTTCTTCATCCATTTGCACAAAAATACTCTTTCAACTGCTTAACAGCGACAATTTTTCAAGAACAAAATCAGTATCACCTAAACATAGGCTACAAAAATTTAACTGTAACAATATTTGCAAATAACAGCCATTCCATATCTTTTGTTACTTCTATAAAAATGACGAAAATTTGCATATTTATTTTATTACGCCAAATATGCTATCTATTTGCATACTTGAACTATTTTTTTGGAAATTTAATTCTATATACTCTAACATTGATTAGTATTGACTAGAGGTTAATCAATGAAGGAAATTATAAATAACTGTAGTATGAACTTGTTGACATTTTTTTTAAAGATGCGATAGAAATAAATGAGGCAGCAATTAAGTCAAAAAAATATAAAGGCTAATAATTTTTTTCTTACGTTTCAAAGTACTTATCTATCGTTTTTTGAATATTTTTGTTAACAGCAAAGTTTCATTTCAAAGTAAGATGCTATTAAAAACACAAACGTTATGTGCATTAAGTTCAAAAAAAGCTGGAAGTTCTAGAACTGGCTTGAAGGTCAGCCAAAATTGCAAGGATCAACAAATTATCTGTCTCATTAATTTCTCACCGATATTAGTATAAAATCCAAATTCAGTAAAACAAGCTTGATATGAACTGTGCATATATTTTAGTATAAGCATTAAGCATTACAATTTTTTGTTACTTTATCCTACTATTTATGTCAATTCACAGATATTAGAGTAAAGCATAAATTATGACTATGTTTAAATGCCGTAATTATTGCAGCGCTTAATTCTTAGCAGCAAAAAAAAAACTAACTAACTAAAAAATTACAATTAGGTTTATTGCAATCAATTCTGTATGTATGTGAACTTTGATTTCACACTTTCAAACTATTCGGTATTTAAGCAATTATTGTTTTTCACATAACAATAAATTTATGATTTTATTGATAAGAAAATTTTGTATTCTCAGATAATCTATTAATTTGAATAAAATTATTTCATTCCTTCAATATCAATTTCAAAAAATATGTGAACAATCAAAAATAACGTCAATTAGTATAGTTTTTTTTAAATTATTTTTGCATACAATTTTTTCAATGAAAAATAGAAATTTTCTACGCAAAAATAATTGTCAAATTTTAAATTCAGTTTGCTGCAAATGAAAACACTTCAGTTTGATTAACAAAATAATTTTGATTTGTGTAAAATTTTATGACAAAAGAAAAATAGATGGTCAAAAAATTTAGTTATAAAAAGTAATAAATGCCTACTTTACAAAATCTTTTTCCTGATAAATCAATGTAATGAAAGATTCTTAACATATGATAACTTATAATCAACTTCAACTTAAAGAATATGTTTTTTTCTGCTTCACTCTATCGATAAGTTGTAAAGTGAACAAAAATTATAATCAGTGAATCCAAATTTGGTATCAATTTGAAATTTGTTTGCCAAATATTAATTGAGTGTTTCTCATTTTAATTCATTGTTACTTTTTTTGTGTTTACTATTTTTCACTGAGATAATGCATTCACTTTGTTATTGCGTTTGAATTATTTTTAGGAAATTTTTGAATCTTTCTTTAGCTAGCATTCAGCTTCTTATTAGTCTTCTTCACTCTTTTAGTAATAGAAATGTCAAAATTGACCCATGGTGAGTAGTGTGATCTTGTAGATAATGTCCAAATTTGCAAAAGCAGTAATGTATCGACAAGCAAAATTGAGAAAGGGAAAGTAATAATTGATGATTTGCATATCGAATATTGCCGTTATGGTCAAGGAAAATTTAATTGACTCTTTATTTATGGAAGCGTTGATAAGTGTGTTATTATTACATGCAATTTTAAACACAATTTTTTGGTCAATAACAATTTTAAAGCAAACTTATAATTTTTTTTTCAAATTTATTAAAATTATGAAGGAAAGAATAAGTAAACTTATGGCTAAATTGGATTTTCAGAAACTCATAAAAACATTAAATGGCTTTCCAACTAACCAAAATTGTAATTAAAACTTTTTACATATAATGAAAGGAAATTTTATTGTCAGAGAATCCGTGAACAAAAATTAGCACTTTAAAAATCTTTATGGCTTATTACAACTTGAAAAATAAAAAGTTCTGTATAACTGTTAATCTTCTTTTTTAAAAAAAAGGAAAATGGAGTTGAAAACTGTGAAGATGAAGATTTCTGAGCCAGATGGCATGATGTTCAATCCAAAGCGTAAAATAAGAGAGAAAATTTAAAAATTCATTTTCTTTATTTCATCCCATAAAGTTCACTAATGTGTTATAAAATTTATAGCTTTCGCTGTAATTGCCTTATTTTCAAATATCCCGCCTCTAAACTTATCACCTTTCACAGTGGTAAATTGGAGTTAAGGAGCCCGTACAGCCATTCATGTCGCTGCTCAACGAACAATCTTGTGAGCAGTATGATTTTATTGGCGGCTTTGTACACGTATCGACTTAAGAAGTGCACATTTTCAAGGTTAAGGTATAATTTAAGCTTTAAGCCCGTGACTTTAGTTTCTAAATGAAAAAGAACTAAATCACAGATCTGTAAAGAAATAAAAGAGCGGATATTATTTCAGATTTCTTTTTGGTACTCGCTGATGCGTAAAATGAATTGATATTGCAATGATTGAATGTTTCAGGTATACGCAATACTGATAAATGGTTACCTGATGCTACAGAACTGTATTTATCCACCCAAATTTCTCAATAAGCAATAGGCAGATTTTTGTGATGTTATTTATCAGTACGCTGCTTTTATATTTCAATATGAATTATTAGTAAATTGAAATACCTGATAAGAATACAATTTATCTCCAGCATGTCAAGCTAATTCTGTCTTTTTTGCCTTATTTTCTGAAGTTGTATTTGCTTGGTAGTCTTTGAGAAAGGTTTTCATATTTTGGAAATCAACCTGATTTTGTAAATCATTAGAGAAGGTTTTCATATTTTGGAAATCAACCTGATTTTATAAATGCTTAAATTAAGTAATAAGGTAAGAGAGAAAAAGATGTTAAAAGTGTATTTTAAAAAGTTCAAAGTATTTCCTAAACCTTTTTTAAAACTTAAGAGCTTGCGAATATCTTAGAGATTGCTCCCCATTAGATCGTTTGTTGCCAAGTATTAAAATTCCAACATTAATTTCGAACGGTGGTATGGATTGGTACTGTCCTGATCAGAAATATTTTTAAACATTGCTCACAAACTGTATGTATACCACTTTTTGCTGTCAATAAATTTAAGACTGAAATTTCACTTATCATACACTTCTGATTTTAACTGAATTATGATAATATAAATAAATATATATATATAATCAAGACTAAAGTTATCTCACACAATATTAACACTTATATTGCTCTCTATTCTTGACAACTTCATGAAAATTGTAACATATATCTTGTATTTATGAATGATTAGCAGTTACATAATATTCAACTCGATACTTATTTTCTTGGTGCTACGATTTTTACATCAAACATCCCCGATGGTTTGCTAATCAAACCAAATAGCTAATCAAGTAGCTCATTCCCGACTGATTCCAAGGATAGCATTTTCATTAATTGATAGAAAGATTAACTTGGTACTTTTTTTGATTCATAGATAAATTATTATTGATGCAAACATCGTTTCTTGAGTTCATTATTTATTAAGAATGTTAAAACTTTTAGTAACATGCATTGCATATATTTTAATTCATATGCTTGCAATTATTTTCTTGAATAACTTACAAATTTTCCATGCAAGATTGGCTGTGCTCCAAACAGTATTACTTTAGAGAACAAATATGTTTTTCTGATTAACACTTGAGTACAAATAGATGTAATTAACGTTTGTTGTAATACTAAGCTATCAAATATCAAATTAAGTATGCATCTGAACTTGATTAGATGCTATTAAGAAAAGAAAAAATGATGACTGAAACAGTAAGGAACTAATGACTGAACTTTTGTTCTAAGCAATAAAACCATATGTTAATGTAAAAAGATATTAGATTAGCATGCACACTTGTAAAAGTATAGAAAATAGCACGAAATCCGTCATAAAAAATGGTTGCATAGAAATAATTCATCAGTAATTTCAGACAAATTATATTTTATTGATTTGTAGCCTGTGAGTAATTTGATAAATCTATAATAAATCAGATCATAATAACTCTAGTTTATTAACAACTACTAAGGAATAAAATGATCAACTAAAACATACTATGATTATTAAAAATAGCGATTAGCAAGTGATAAAAGTGTTATTAATTTCTTGACATAACACATGACTTTAATGCTACTACACTTTTTACTTTTTCTCCAACTTTTCTCCATTATTTCCGTTGCTAAAAAACAAACTTTCATTAGCTTAACGTCAATTTTACTCGGATTAGTTGTTCGCAAGGAAAAAGAGTCTGAAATGATTGCTGCATTCGCAAAAAAATGTTTGGAGAAAATGAAAATTGCAATTTGAAAGATATGATATGAGCATATTAGAAAAAATATTTACTCCTTATGTTAAATTAAACCGGAAAAATCGGCACAAATTTGTTTGTTTTACTGAAAAATTTATCTATTAATGCAAACAAAAAAATCAGAATAAGCAATGAAAAAAAATAGCAAACATTTATCTATTATTTTTGTTGAGAAAAATAATGAGAAGAAACTTAATTTAGTCTCAATGCATTCAATTTAAGAAACATAACAGATTCATTAAATTAAATTATTAACTGCTCAAAAAATCCATTTCCAAATACAGAAATGACCTAAAAAATATGATTAAAAAACAATGAACAATGAAATGAAACACACATTTTTTACCACCCGAAAAAGAATCACTGATTTTCATTTAACACTCAGTACGATCATTTGCTACAATTCTAAATATGCAAATGATAGTAGTTACGTAATCAATGTTACAATTCTACGCAATTTAACTTCTTATAGTTTTTAAACATAAATGAACTACTACTACATCGCTAATATCATTGGGGAAATTATTCTTGATATAACAGTCCTCGTACAACTGCTAGCAACATCTACACTATTTGCCAAATTATCAATATCATTTTAACTAGTTCAAATTGGGTGCATAACTGCCAGGTCCATGCTTGTTCTAAAATCATAGCGAAATAAAAGCACAATTACACTTATTGTCAATATTAAAACAATCCTTGACCAATCCATGTATTTTTAGATGTAAATTCTGGGTAAAAACAATTGTAGAAACAAGTATGCAGAAAGATATCAAATGGTTCGAATTATTTAAATGCTGATAAAGATGATAATTACTTCCAGTTATTTACTTGAGGTCAAATGTCAAGTAATAGCAGTTTATGGATGTAACAGTCATATATATATATATGAATTTGATTTGTTAATTTGATTAATATGAGATCAACACGATCGCATCACAAGGCACATCAATGTTGGTTTCAGCAACATTATTTTTATGCGATTTTTCTTTGCAATGCTCTTTAATCAGTCGCAAACAGTGCTACATTTGATAGAGAGTCAGCATTACAAGGAGTAACAATTGTTACTACCTGCATTACAGTTAATCATTTTTATTTTGGTAAGAAAGAGTACCATTTTATCACTATTGCACTCTTATAAGACTCATCAATAGATAAGCCCAATTTTGAAATATTCAGTAGCTACCAAACGTTGTATTACTATTACATTGACTGACTTTTTTGCCATAAATTTTGTTTCTTCCGTTAAATAATTTTCCTTAACATTATACATTTTCGAGAGTTAAATTATTGCTTGTCCTCATGCCACATTGAATGCTTACTTCAACGAATCAGAATTTGATCAGTTATAGGAAAAATACAAAAATAGTCTAAGCTTGTCAGGGAAACTGTAGAAGTCTTTTTCATTTCGTCTGTAATAATATGACAACAATATTAAGACAGCAAAATTCTGATATTGAGCATTGAAAAACAATTAAATTTGTGTAGGAATAAAATACATTTTTAAAAGGTATTGCATATATTAGCAAAAACTAAATCAAAGTTCGTTGAATAGTCAGTTTTTGCAAGCTAGGAGGTATATCAAAAGAGAGCTCGACACTTATTTGATAATCATGATTTTTGTACGGGTTATTGCAGTTTTATACGCTAGAGTTTAAATGTTCTAATAAAAAAATTCTGATGTCCAATTTAGAAGAAAATACAAAATTAGAATCAATACAAATAGTATTTTATCTCTGCTGACACCAGTAATATGAAACATCGTTCTTACAAACGTCATACCGCGCATTTAAGGTTGCTTTATAATTCAGTGTACTGCATGTTTCGAAAATTTTTTGTATAGCATTTGTGTTGCAAAACTTATTACATGATAAGTTTGCATGGAATTAGCATTGTGGTGCTGCAATCATTTATTCTCCAGTTCATAGTTGTTGCTTTCTTGTGATAAAAAGTGATAAAAGCACATAATATATGAAGAACTATACTAGTTTTAAAACAAGTACTAGAATCATATATTAAATTAATGAAACGTTTCAGAAAACCGATCAGTATTGATCAGAAGAAATTATTGAATCATATTTTCAATTAATGAAGTCTTCCAGAAAACGAACTAATGATGATGGAAAGAAATCGTTTAATCATGCTTGGAAGGTTAGCACATCCATTGTAAAAATTATTTTTTGCCATTTTTGTATGAATAAACTAGACGTAATGCACATCAAACTTAAATGTATGCTTAATTAATACGGTGTGCTATTTATCAATTCAAAATGACTGTGCTGAAGCTCAAATACAAATTTGGAGAACACATGTTATCATATGCAACTTGTATGCTAATGAATAAAACAGACATCAGTAAGGTATTGCTGAGAACTAGCGATCATTATAAATGTTCAACTAATTGATACTTTGTAAATGGAAACGTCCTCTACTCACACTTTACACTATTTTCCTAAATTTATATTCTTTATGCATTTTTGTGGCGAGCAATACGCAAATTAGAATAAATGAAAACTATGTATATAATAATTGTTGCAGCTAAACATATGATGAATAATAAAATAAGGATAGACATAGCGAATACTGCTTGTATTGAAGATACTAAGGAACAATAGCTGAGTGCACATGAGTGTGTCATTGAACTATAGCTATACCGTGCAGGGATTAGCTAGTACAATCAATCAGAAGGACACAAATTGATTAAGAGAAGGGGTGATGTTATGTTTAACTACTTTCAAACTACTACATAATAATGTCTGCTTGTATTGTTAACTTACGTAGCGAAAGCTAATACTTGTTTTCGTTTCTGTTGATACAACGTTTAAAAAAGTTACACTTGACGATGATTACGACTACGTACGTAAAAACTGCTTAATAAGCTCAACAATAAACATTTACATCTCACTCAAACTTAGTGCTAAGTTGAGTTCATTGCACATCTTGCAGACATGTTGCGAGTCATATGAGACATAGTAGTATTGTGCACTATTATGATGTTAGGTAGACTAATCAGTTATAGTTGTAATAATTTATTTTTTTTTTTAAATTAAATCTTTGCGTGTGTGTGCGTGTGTTATTGTAAACACAAAGATAGTAGCATGTCTATTATACGTTGCAATTCGTACAAAGTATTAATTCAAGTTTGATACTTTTCATTTTCATGCAGACCGCTTGCTTATTGCATCATCGATTGCTATTTTCCATTTTCTCTCAGATATGAGAATAGAAAATTTAAAATAAAACGAAAATGAAAGAGAGAAAGGACGGAAAGAGAAATAAATGAGTGCAGTCGGCTGCTGGTTTAAGTCTGCCACGCCGTGCTCTCGTCTCGTTGAAGTTGCGATGCTTTCAGCTCACATTCACTCACTCCGATCAGTGTGATTTTATCTTCTGTGCTAGCACAACTCTTCGATGATTCTCTTTCCTCTTTTTTTGTACGCTACAGTAATATCGGCGGATATTCATTCGGAATTATTAGACTTGCGTATATTTGATATATAAGTTCTGTTAATTGTGTTTACTTTATTGATTGCCTTTTTTATACAATTATTGTGCAACAGTTTTGTTGATCTTTTATCTTTTATATTACTGAGCAAACAAAATGCTAAAATTGTAACATTTTATGGCGTATAAAATACCTATTCGTAGTAATTTTTGTGATAAAGAATTTAGATTAAAAATATTTAACTAAAAGTATTATATATTGTTAGTAGTTGGTTTTGTGAATAATTTTCTATCTATCAGTTTTAAATTAATTGTACAAACTAGAGTTTTAAAGACCTTTGAAATTAGTCATTTAAATTATACGAATTAAAAGTAATTAAATTTGTATTTTGTAACTTAAATATGAGCAAATTAGAAGTCATGTACTACAACTCCTTGCACAATTTTAATATCATCAATTGTAAATTTAGTATATTTAGTTTAGTCCCCTTAGACGATGAAAGTATGCAGTGCTAGTAATAATTGCTCTTTCTTAACATAATATCAAGAACAGCTGATGTGCCCACGCTTTTTTGTTTTTAAAATCTTAAGCCTTAATTTTGAGTAATTGTATAGAAATCAGTTTTAGAAAAGTATGCATTTGTATTTATATTCTCATTAGCAATATTATTTATGTATTGGTGAAATAGATAAAAACAATTATCTTATGGTTTATAATTGTATGTATGTACAACTTGCAATGTTGGCAGGCAAAAAGAATGCAGTAATAATGTTTTCTTTTCAGTAAATATTATTTAAAAATTTTTTACTCTGTAAGTAATTGTGTGTATTATTTACATCTTCAGTAACTGAATACAGTTAATGTGATCATTATTTACATACTATTTCAATTTAAAATGAAAAATTTGCATTTTCGGTTGTACTTTTTTGGAGTATTTAAACTTCAGCAAACAAGTAATAGCTCATAATTTAAACGTCTGGAAGGCTTCTGTTGTATGTTGCAGAAAATTTGGAACAAATTCTCTGGTAGTTATTTTGTGTGCTCACACAGAATTCAGATCAGTTTGCGAAGTACTATATGCTTAAAGACATTCAGTGTGTGATCAATAATGGATCTTATTTTCCTACTGTTTCAAAAATTTTCAATGTTGTATTTATGACTAAGCAATAAGATCTATCGGTTTTGTACCAAATACAACAGTTAAAAGTTTTAAAGACTGTTGTCTTGATAATCCATCAATTTCAGCAACTTTATTTCTTTGTTCACAACTCGATCGTTTTCTACTATGCCAATTAAACGTATTCACGCGCGTGCTATCTACGATTCTCGCGGTAATCCAACCGTTGAGGTTGATTTGACAACAGAGAAAGGTATTATTAGCCAAATACACTTTTGTACTTAAGTTAAAGGAAATTTTAGTTCATCTTTAATTTTTCTTTTACAAAGATTTTTTGTTCTTATTATATATTGCCATATTATCTTTGTCTATGACTTTGTTTCAAAGATATGCTTGCATAAATGCATTTTTTACTTTATCTATGAATATTTTAATATATGAAATGGAACGAAGTGACGATATCTTTCTTTAAACCTGACAAAAGTCTGTGAAGTTAACTATTTTACGGGCATTGCTGTTTTAATGCTTTTCTGGGACCACATGTATATCAAGCTAATAGTTCATTAATATCAACTCAGATTTGTATGGTGGAAATGAATGAAAAATATTGAGAATAAAAAAACATTGCAGTTGTGTACTGCTTAATTTCTACACATTTATTAAAATCACTATTCATTGAAGCAGCGTTTGTTTATTGAACTTTTAACAGTGATAAGTATTGTATTAGTAGAAAAAATGCTTGTTGACTGGTCTTGAATATATATTTTATTTTGATATTATTTCATTCTGAATGTGTATACTAATTACAAAATATGAATTTAAGGTATTTTCCGTGCCGCTGTACCAAGTGGGGCTTCAACTGGTATACACGAAGCACTTGAACTGCGAGATAAGGACAAAGCAGTCCATCATGGAAAAGGTGTCTTGCAAGCTGTTAAGAACGTCAACGAACAAATCGGACCAGCTCTAATTGCGAAGGTGGAGTGTTAGTAATTGAAGCACCTTGATAACATGTCTTGGTGCTCATGATAGTTTTCTTTCCAACTTTAAGTTGTTGGGTTAATATGAAACAGAAAATTCTTTATTTTAATGTGTTGAAAGCAGGCTAGTAAATACTGCATGTATGTGATTATTCATGCACATGTAGTCTTTTGCAGTTTAATCATAGTAACTGATTCATATTTTCATGAATGTATTATTTTAACTGCATATCTATTATGTTGCACCCTTTTGCAAAAAATTGTGTGTATTTTTGTGTACAGTGAAGTAATGTGGGTTGGAATACTAATTGATTAACGTATGTAACTCGTTTACATAATTGAAGAGATATTAAGAATAGTAATTATCCTGAATATTGTCAAGAAGGAGAAAGAAATATTTTTTAGGACTTTTGTCCAACTCAGCAGCGTGAGATCGACCAGTTCATGCTAGAACTTGATGGAACTGAGAATAAAGGTAGAGAGATTCTTTATAATTTTGTGTATTTGAAATTGCTTCCTTCTTTTGCAGGTGTCTGCTTTATTGATAAATTTGAGGATTTTTTCAAGAAATTGCTTTTAGGAACGAATGTTATAAAATAAGAAATTAAAAACATGTACAAAATAGGATATCAAAACTTCATTCTTAGTATATGAGAATGAATTTCAGCGAAGCTTGGGGCTAATGCAATTTTGGGAGTTTCATTAGCTGTTTGCAAGGCAGGTGCCGTTCACAAAGGTATGCCATTATACAAGTATATCGCTGAATTAGCAGGCACGAAGCAAGTCGTTTTACCGGTTCCAGCTATGAATGTCATAAACGGTGGTTCTCATGCAGGCAATAAACTGGCAATGCAGGTAAATATGATGGCTCAAGAACTGGTATTTCTGTATTTTCCTAATAAGTTCCCTGAAAAAAATAAGATTTTTTGAAAAAACGTATGATTAGAAAATTCATCTTCAAATTCGGCATATCTAGAATTTGATTGTTGTGGTCGGACAATAAAAGTATCAAATATTTCCAGGAATTCATGATCTTGCCAGTTGGAGCTAAGTCATTCAGTGAAGCTATGCGTATGGGTTCCGAAATTTATCATTATCTAAAAGTATAATTTTAATTTTTTGTGAGACTTGACATAACCGCTCATCGGTTTTGTAAATAGTTTGGTTCAATATTGTTTTATTCAAATACCACGTATTTAAGTGTCGTAGGGAGCCTATATCTTCAATGAGATATGTGTTTCTCGAGTAAAGTGTTAATTATTATATAAGTTTCAAGTTAAATGCTTATAAGGATTTCAGATTGCAATGTTGTAAACAAAAACAAATTGCCTACAAAGAATATATGTAAAATGACTATATAAAGTAAATATTTAAGGCTGAAATTAAAAAACGCTATGGTCTCGATGCAACAGCTGTTGGAGATGAAGGTGGTTTTGCTCCAAATATCCAAGATAACAAAGAAGGTCTTGATTTACTGAATACAGCGATCGCGACAGCTGGATACACCGGAAAGGTGTCAATTGCCATGGATTGTGCAGCATCTGAATATTATAAGGTGGAATATTCAATTGTTTCTCAAATTGTTCGAAATTATACACCCAGAGAGCTTATTATTTACTCTAACATTTTGCAGGAAGCGGATAAAATGTATGATCTAGATTTCAAAAATCCTAATTCCGATAAAAGTCAGTGGAAGACCGGGGATCAAATGGCAGAAATCTATCAATCCTTTATTAAGGTTTTGGAAATTTCAATAAGTATTAAAAGATATATTTTTAGGAGTTAGGTCATTCATTGAACGTTTCCTATATTCTGTTTGTCGGATCTAGCCTTAGTGTTTGCCCATATGATTATAAGGCTAATTTTTTAAAGCAGTTGTGGTATTAGTATAGTTGTATACAGAAGTTGGATCTCATGTTTCAGAAGAATTTGCTTAACAGTGTTATCTCTTATGCATTCTTGTTCAGGAATATCCAGTGGTTTCAATCGAAGATTGGTTTGATCAGGACGATTGGGAAAATTGGAGTAAAGCATTAGCCAATGTCAATATTCAAATCGTTGGTGATGACTTAACTGTTACAAATCCAAAAAGAATTGCATTAGCTGCTGAGAAGAAAGCTTGCAATTGTCTGTTACTCAAGGTAGTGATCTAACCAATAAGAAGTCAAAATTTTTCGTACGAAAAACTGGAAAGAACAAAGCTATTCAATGATTTTTTCGTTTATGTTTCACTAAAGTTGGCTGTTTAGTCTTTTAATAGTTTAGAACTCAGTTAATGTTTTACAATAGGTAAACCAAATTGGAACCGTAACGGAATCAATCGATGCTGCAAACCTAGCTCGTAAAAACGGTTGGGGTGTCATGGTGTCACATCGTTCCGGTGAAACAGAAGATACATTTATTGCTGATCTCGTCGTTGGTCTCGCTACTGGACAAGTTGGTGTTTTCTCAGAGTTCACTTGATTTCTAAATAAGATTTTTTATATTGTCTTGGTCATGTGAAGTGCACTTCCAAGATCAACTGATTTGTGAATTAAGAGCAGTGAATTTAACGAGTTTTATAAAAGGCTGGAAGACTGTTAAGAATGACACAAATGACTTGGAAGTTTTGAAAATACTTTTTATTATATGCCCAAAAGAGTCTTGTTTCTTGAGTGTTGCACAAATTATTTCTCTCATGAATTTCCGCCTACTGACATCAAAAAATGTAGAATTGTTGTGAGGAGGCTGAGCTATTCTGAATTGTTCTGATATGGTAGTTACAGATCAAAACTGGAGCGCCATGTCGTTCTGAGCGTCTTGCTAAATATAATCAAATACTTCGTATAGAAGAAGAACTTGGTTCAGCTGCAATTTACGCCGGTGAGAAATTCCGAAATCCGCAGGCATAAGTTTGTAAGGCAATAAAATTGCTGGAAGATAATGGTGGGTGTGTTTCGTAGTGCATAATTTTATTACAATATTATTATATAACTGTTCAACCTATCATAATTCTGTTAACCCTCCAATTTTATTTAACTCTATTTATTTATAGTATAAATTGACTTAGTTGTAGTTGCTGACCTATACTTATTGAAATTTCAATTATCCGGTTTATACTACATGATAAAAGTATTCCTATTAATTGTTTCACACTTCTTGCAGTTGAACAAAAGAAGCTTGGAATTAAATTCCCTTACTACACATCGACATAAGCCTCATTTATCCGCTTCATTAAGACTGTTATGATTCTAAAACTGAAGTTTTATTACTCAGTGATAGACTCTCTGGCTTTGAAAAATGAATGGAGTTGATAAAGTAAAAAAGCAGAACTATTTTGCTGTTCAAAACACTAAGCAGGTTCCAGGATGCTATATAATAAAAATCCCTCAAGATTTTTTACGAAACTTTTGTATCAAAAAGTGGAACGAAAAACTTTCGAAAAATATTTGAGCAGCACGAAGCAAAACTTTCGTTCCTCGAGTACTGCTCGTTATTCACTGTGACGTAGTTAAGATGAAATGCGAATCTGTTTTTGTTTATCTTTTTCCTTATCTTGCAGTTAAAGACTTCAACTGCATAGTATTGGTTTTATTTTTTCAGTAATTCACATGTTATTGGAGATGTCTTCGTTGTTGCTTCTTCTGCTAACAAGAGAAAGTTCTCTTTTTTCTGCCAAGAAATTATGAAGCAAAAAATAGCAAAGCGTATCTAATATTTCAATTTGACTTAATATAAGAATGATAATTCTGCCTAAAATACTCATTAAACTGGATGACATTACATAAAATTTCTTTAACTTATTTAGTGGATAAACTTGCAGAAAGTATAATATCCACGAATAGTCAATTTTTTACCATGGAGAATTTTCATTTTATGAACTTTTATGGTACAGGCTGTTATTTCCTGGCTGAGAGTACTATTTTCGGAGGGACAAAGTATCAAATGAACTTGTTGTATTCGAATCTCCTCTGCATTTAATTAGTAAATATTGCAGATTACCGAAAGATTCTAGGAAGTTATAACAATACTGATGGTGGTGTACTGTGTGTCAGCTTCTAATTGTAGAAAACGTGAAGTTCAGCAACATACTTTACATATTTTGGACTTGGCAATAATAATTTGCGCCTTCCAAGGAATATTTTTTTCATTTTTTGTTATAGAACAGCAAGAATCGCTTTGTGGCAAATTGCAACAATATTTTGATCTCGTGGGTCATGTAATGTCATGTAATCCTTATTCGCATGTATCATCAAAATGTACATCGGGGCAGTAATTGCGTTTGAGGAAATGCTTCTAGTGGTATTTCGTGAAAGAACTATAAAATTCGTTATCTAACTTTTTTTAAATGTGATGAAAATGTTTAGAGAATACTAGTCTTTATGGGAATGTGTATACAGGTTTTTGCTTAACTTTATTGTTTTAGATTTTTGAAAAATTAATAGATGGAGTTGACTACACCAATTTCTCAGGTGACGTAATATAAGAAAACGAGAAGTTTGTTGCATTGCTATTAATTTTGATAATAAGGCGAATGATCTGTAACAACATTACAGGCTTAGTTATGTAGCAAAAGAAAATTCATAACGAACAGTCTTATTGTAGAAAATTTCATTTCAGCAAGTTCTGACATACAGGTTATTTAACAAATTAATTTCTTGCTTTGTTTTTTTTTACAAGTTGCTAATCTTTTTAGTTTATCCCTTTGATGACATTTGATTCTTTTATCCTTGTGCAATTGCAACTTTCATTCACTTCAATAAAAGTGTTTGACGTTTAGACAGTTAAAACACATAAAATGCTGTCGCTCTTACTGGCATATTTTTAGTATAATATGATATGATGCACGATATTTGGTGCTCCATCTTAAGATGTAAATAAACATTTTTAAATTAAGTTGTATGCAGCGAAAAATTTTTAAAGTTTAAAATTCAATAAAAGCAAATATATTAGAGAGCAGTGGCATTCGTAATCAAGCATTCAGGTTTCTAGATTAATTTTTATTACTAGAATTCTTTTTTTTTCTTTGCAAACCTGCTTATTGCTAGAGATTTGTTTATTAAACAGTTATTATATACTTTACATCTGACTTTTCTTTTGAATATTGCGATATTTATTGACCGCGTAAACTTGAATCTTAAATCTTAAATGATCAGGTTCGATCATAAAGTTCAGTACTACAAAACAACAAACAGGAATAATAATTTTTTCCACTGTATATTATTTTCATTTTTCTTGCATTTAGCACATCTCTATGCTTCTTTGTTACACTTCATGAAACTGAATATTTGCTATACACAATCTTTACTTGCAAAACATTTCACTGATAATAATTATCTATTCGAAACATTATTGGAAGCGAGTACTGTGTGTTAATTATATTCACAAATTTTTGCATAAAAGTATTCGCAGTTGATGGATGTTATGATGCAATGAGTTGTTTATTCAATAAACAATTTTTAAAAAGTGGTCAAGTAGCGATAAACAAAAGATGAGAATGTAATTGAAAAGTTTGAATAAAGCATTTTCGCGTGAATAAATTTATGATATAGCGGAGCACTGATTTCTACGATGGAGATGCATAATGAGTTTATAAAAGAGACACTCGTTGAAACAAGCCTTAGTCTGGATTCAGCTTCAGTTCCATGCATGCCTTAGTCTGGATTCAGCTTCAGTTCCATGCATTTCTTTGCTTAATTGTTCGAGACATTTGAAAGGTAGCATTTTTTTCCTGGAGCACTGGATTAATGAGCAAACATCGTTTGCATAAAAGTATTCGCAGTTGATGGATGTTATGATGCAATGAGTTGTTTATTCAATAAACAATTTTTATTTCTGTCATATTTGCTCGTTCACTTGACTACTTTTGTTGCTATTTTTGATGTAAATTGAAGGATTTACGTATTCACTAATTTTTATGAACTGTTAAGTATATTTTAAGAAAGATAAATTTGTTACAATGTTTATTATTCCAATCTCTAATAACGCCACTTTTTATAGATACTAATTGCGTTATGTTTACTAATAAATAATTATACAAAAGTTGCTAGGTGGATCAAAATTAATTCAAAGTGGAATGAAATTTTTTTCATTTCTTCTGAAATATACCCAACTATTGGATTTGCGATAACACAATTAAAATGTTAGCAAAAAGTATTAAAAGAGTGCAAAGTTCATTTTTAAGAAATTTTGTCAATATTTTTATGAAATCATTTTTTCATTAATTATTTAATTTCTATTTATTGTGGTGGCAAAATATGCAAGAAATTCCGGTTTAAAGTTACATTAACTTGTTTTCTCTGAATATTTTCAGAGTATCAAATTCATAGCAAAATTAAATTTGAAGTAACGACATTTACATAAGTGTGTATTCATTCTTTTAATTTGTACATTTTCAATTTAAGTTATTTGCTCAAAAAACTTTTGCTTAAAGTTCTTTAAATAACTTTAAATAGTGTTAAAAATATTTGCATTGAACTTTTTTGTTTAAATATGTATTTTTAAGTTTTATAGTTTGTGTGTGAAATTTACAAATAAAGAAATTCTCTGAAATCGGCAAACAAATAAATGATTTGAATAAAGGATTTTAGACAGGATTTGTATTTTTTTTTCCACATTAACAGTAGTTGCAAGAAATTGCTTGGTTAACTACAGTCAATTTTATTATTATTTACCTATTATTATCATGATTATGAAGCAAAAGTCGTTAGTTATTATTATTTTTCATTAATTAACATAATTATTGTTAGCATATGCATAGCATGTTATCATACTGATATTTACAGCAATATATAAATATATGAGCTTTTTTTTAATCCAATACTGTGATTGAATATTATTTTGCTGAATATTTTTTTAAGTCTTGCTGAATATTTTTTATGTCTTTTAATATGCATATCATGTACTCTTTTAATAGTCACTACGTACGAAGTGTTATGAGAGTACTTTTTAAGATTGCACATAACCAGTACAATTCGCATACCTTCAGTATGTTATTGTAAAGCTTTTGTCCACAAATTCGAAAATAAATATAGTGAAAAAATAAAGTACTTTTTCGAATTATTTTATTTGGTATGCTCATTTGTAATCACAAATGCAAATTATAGTCACTGTATTAATAATAAAAAGGAATAATTGTTAATATGCAAACATGTATACAAGCTGTTGAAATGATTCTAAATGTGCTTCGTACGTATCCTTACTTAGAACTATAGATGAAATTGTTTAAAAAAAAGCATTTGAAGATATTTTTCACATTTAGAATCATATAGTTCTAAAATTAAATTCTTATTCAATTTCTCAATTTGCATTTCAGTTAATGGCTAAAACAGTGTCATGATACTTATAAATAAAGATAGCAAATAATTAAATACTTAAAAATATCATTTTAGTATAGAAAATATTAAACTTAAGTGTACTCATAAAAACTGATTTGTTATTAACAATTTTTGCTCACTTTTTGGAGAATAATTTAAGAAAAGGGTAGACAGATATATATATTATTTCTCAGAAAAAGTATTGTAGTGAGTGGACAACAACATTATGGATTTATGCAGTTATACTGCGCTTCATTTTTGTATTTTTTAAAATCTTCTGAATAAAAAGGCAGTAAATTATTTTTCCGTTTTGACCATTACCTTTTTTTGGGATATTTGAATTTCCAGTTGAGTAAAATTGTAATTCTCAAAATGTATTCAATACTTTTTATCAAAAAACTAAAGATATTCAATCATAAATTTCATGTCAGTTTCAATTTGATTTTTACATTATTTGCAAAAGAGTGATAAGAAAAACAAATCATTGCGGATTCAATTGCTACCTTCAAATACATTGATTTCCTCAGTGCAATCTTCGCTTCTTTTTCTTCATCTTCTTGGTCATGAATGTATTTTCTCAGTACTTCTGATTGTTT